GAGCTACAGATCCAAGTGTTGTAGAAACCTTCGACTTATGCTGCCGTTTTTTAGTCCCTCACTTCTGAGCCTGTCAACAAAGCGAACGTTCAGGCATGCTCGCCAAAATTCCTTTTACCTCCAATAGAAGTGTTCATGAGTAGTATTCACGAGCGCTTGCTCTGAGGGACAGGCCTCAGGTATCATTCTTTCATATTGCTTGCTGCTGTGTATCTGTCGGCTGGTTGTTCTGTTTGTTGATCCAGCATCATTTTCTGTTCATTTTCTTCGCAGAGGTTGCACATATTAAAATGAAATTTGGTATACAGGTTTATCATAAGAATATCTATGTCAAGTTCTGTTTTGGATATGATATGGCCATTTTGGACAGAGCTATGCCCCTTGGACTTGGAAAAATTCCAATCACTTGCAATCTCCGTTCGTTTCCTTTTCAGAGGTTGCACATATTGAAGTGAAATTTCATATATAGATTGATCATAAAAATATGTAGGTCAAGTTCTGTTTTGGGTACTTTCGGGCCATTTTGGACAGAGTCATGCCCCTTGGACTTAGAAAAATTTCAATTATTTTTGGGAAGGGGGGCATAAGTGTTTTACAAACATCTCGTTTTCTTCTTTTTTAGCTCAACTGAGCCGAAGGCTAAACTTTTCACATTTTCGACTTCTTCTCAAGAACCACTTGGCCGATTTTAACCAAACTTGGTACAAAGTATCCTTGGGTAAAGGGGAATTTAAATTGTTAAAAATGAAGGGCCAGGTCCTCTCACAAGGGGATAATCAAGAAAAGACAAAAATAGGGTGGGGTCATTAAAAAATCTTCTTCTCAAGAACCACTGGGCCAGGAAAGCTGAAACTTATGTGGAAGCATCCTGGAATAATGTAGATTTTAAATTTTACAAATTATGACCCCCGGGGGGTTGGGCTGGGCCACAATAGGGAATCAAAGTTTTACATAGAAATATATAGGAAAAATCTTTAAAAATCTCCTTCTTTACCTCAATTGGGAACAGGAAAGCTGAAACTTATGTGGAAGCATCCTAATGATATGTTCTAGACTTCTGAAGTTGTTCAAAGTCATTACTACTAATGTTTATTTTATATACATGTAGGGATAAAACTTCGTTTTACATAGAAATATATAGGAAAAATCTTTAAAAATCTCCTTCTCAAGAACAATTTGGGCCAGGAAAGCTTTGAAATGGCTTATGGGGTTAAGCATCCTTGGATAGTGTAGATTCTAAATTGTTCAAATCATGACCCCAGGGAGTTGGGCGGGGCCAAAATAGGGAATCAAAGTTTTACATAGAAATATGTAGGAAAAAACTTAAACAATCTTCTTCTCAAGAACAATTGGGCCAGGAAAGCTGAAACTTATGTGGAAGCATCCTGGGATAGTGTAGATTCTAAATTGTTCAAATCATGACCCCGGGGGGTTGGGCGGGGCCACAATAGGGAATCAAAGTTTTACATAGAAATATATAGGAAAAAACTTAAACAATCTTCTTCTCAAGAACCACTGGGCCTGAAAAGGTGAAACTTATGTGGAAGCATCCTGGGGTAGTGTAGATTCTAAATTGTTCAAATCATGACCCTTGGGAGTTGGGCGGGGCCACAATAGGGATAAAAGTTTTACATAGAAATATATAGGAAATTTTTTTTTTAAATCTTCTTCTCAAGGACTACGTGGCCAGAAAAGCTGAAACTGTTGTAGAAGCATCCTGGGGTAGTGTAGATTTTAAATTGTCCAAATTATGACCTGTGGGGTAGGATGGGGTCACAATAGGTATTACAAGGGGGGAAATTTGGTTAAGAATAGCATGGTCAAAGCTTCTCAGGTGAGCGATGTGGCCCATGGGCCTCTTTTTTTTTTTGCTTCTCAATAATTTACCATATACATGTATTTTACTCCTATTTTGGGCAGCTGCAAGCATATGCTATTTGAAAAATGTTTTTATGCCACCCTTCCAAGAAGGGAGGGCATATTGCTTTGCACACAAGTGCTGTCTGTTGGCATCGGTTTTTAATTTCGATGAACGATGTTGCCATGGTTACTAAAAATAGAATTTTCGTTCATTTTCTTCGCAACCGTAGCACATACTGAAATGAAATTTGGTAAACAGATATATCACATGAATATCTAGGCCAAGTTCTGTTTTGGGTACAATTGCACCATTTTTGACAGAGTTATGCCCCTTGGACTTGGAAAAATTTCAATTATTTGCAGTTTCCGTTCATTTTCTTTGCAACCGTTGCACATATGAAATGAAATTTGGTATACTGATATATTACATAAATATCTAGGTCAAGTTCTGTTTTGGGTACAATCGTGCCATTTTTGACAGAGTTATGCCCGTTGGACTTAGAAAAATTTCATTTATTTGCAGTTTCCGTTCATTTTCTTCGCAACCGTTGCACATACCGAAATGAAATTTAGTGTACAGATTTATCAGATAAATATCTTGGTCAAGTTTTGTTTTGGGTACAATCATGCCATTTTTGACAGAGATATGCCCTTTTGGACTTAGAAAAATTCCAATTTGGGGGGAGGGGGGCATAAGTGTTTTACAAACATCTCTTGTTAAGCATGATCTCTAATGTAGACATCGTTATGAAAATTTGTTAAAACTGACATTCCAAAACCATGAAGGGCTGGTTGGGACAGTTGAAATGTAAATAAAGTATCAAGAATACATGTAGTTGTGAATTGCAGGCTAAAATACCTCTCTAAGTGGGGGGAAAGCTAAAAAAAAATACAAAAAACAATACCTGAAGTGAGCGACAAAAAAAGAAGAAATCGTTAATTTAAGGTTTTTACAACTCTTGGATCTGTAGCAAGAGATGTAGCTTGCAGGCTTGCGCATTATAAGACCCGATGGAGGGGGGGTGTCCTTTCAATCCCTACAAAGGGAACCAATGCAAATCACCTTTCTCCCTAAAATGTCCCCTTCCGAGTTCTTTTTCAATTCTTATGGACAATTTGGACTTGCATATTTAATAGAATTAATTTTAATTTACTGTAGCTGTATATTTTCCAATAATTTGTAATTTGATGGATTTAAGAAAACATTTTCTGAGGTGTCTATATTCATATATTAATATGCTAGGAATATTTTAATGCTCCTTCTACTTATCCTCTTATTTATCATTTCTACACTTCAAATTTAGATATGCATTCTTTTTTTTTTTAAATTTACCCTAATTTGCATTGCTATGGAATGGGGTTGTTTGAATAAAAAAAACTATATTGTCTTAGAGCAGTTTCCCTTTGATTTTTGATCTGGATAATGTAGGTCATATCACACTTAGGCAAAATAATATCCATCCCCAATATTGCATCATTTATGCAATTCTATAGTCAATGTAACTTAAGAAGTTGAAGTTTATGAGCATAGAAGAATTATTCATGAATTTATGGATTAGTTATGCAACACTAATATACCCGCATGGACATTGACCTGATTTTACAGTTATAGCGTGATAATTCATTTGAAAATATAGGTCATGTGCAACATCTGAAGCATACCCAATAGCTAGGATATGTACCATTATAAATTGTAACATACATTCAAGGTTTGTCCATGCAGGTATGACATACACAGGTACTTATAGGGGAAAAGGTGAATCTGTTTGGGAAAAAAATCAAGTTAAAAAAAAATCTAAGATGACATGTTATTCTTTTGATAAATAAATTTTTATTAATTTTTAACTCACCTGAGCCAAAGGCTCAAGTGAGCTTTGCTGATCACAATTTGTCTGTTGTCTGTCATTGTTGTTGTAAACTCTTCACATTTTCTACTTCTTCTCAAGAACTGCTGGACCAATTTCAACCAAACTTGCCTCAAAGCATTCTTGGGTGAAATATAAATGCACATTCTAATTGGGAATTTTAAAAAATCTTCATCTCAAGAACCACTGTGCCAGGAAAGATAGAAACTTATGTGGAAACATCCTCAGGTAGTGTAGATTCAAGTTTGTTCAAGCAAGTCAGGGCCAAAAAAATTTTTACATATATATATAGGAAAATTCTTTAAAAAAAAATAACAAAGCCATAATTGATCATATTTATATGGAAGCTTTTTTGATATGAATAAATGTTTTTACATAGACATATATAGGAAAATTCTTTAAAAATCAGCTTATCAAGAATAACAAAGCCATGATTGGTCATGGGACTACTTTTTGATATAAATTATTTAAACTATTTAATAATAAACCAATTTCTACTTTTTCCCAGCCACAGTGCTCAGGTGAGCAATGTGACACATGGGCCTCTTGTTTATTGAGTCATTATATAAATTATATATATATACTAGTGCATACATAGTAAAAATGCTAACAAACTTGTGGTAAATTTATCATGCACCTCGGAGAATTGATACCATCTAGTCCAGTCAATGCAGTAAATATAATTATAATGCTCTGAATCAAATTTTTATTTTGAATAACCATATATTCTATTCCGAGAGTCCCCTTTGTCTTATTGAATTGTATTAGGCTGTTACTGAGTATTGACACTATAGTATGCAGAAGGCAGGTATAAATATCATGAGAAGTTTCAGCGCTACTGCAAAAGCAAAAAAAAACCTTTAACTATTAAGCAGCAATGCAGGTGAAGCTTTAGCATGGATTGAACTGGCACTCTTAGAGTGGTAGCTTGGATTCTTGGCCAATTTTAACTCCACAGGGATTTTGGTGACAATGCTGTTAAGTGCTGTTGTTTTTTCTAGAGCAGTATCAATATTTGGTTGCTTCTTGTGATATTTATCAGTTATTGGGAGTATTGAAAGTTGGTGCCTGAGGTGTTGTAGCTGTTAATTGAAGAATTACCCTTAATAATTCTTGACCTTGATATTGTGATGATGCTGGTAATCCATGGATTTTAAAGACATTGACATCTCTAAAATTGGAATTAATTCAGTTTTAGTGGATTTATATAGAGCCAATAAGGAGAGATAAGCTTGGATTTTGTGTGTTCAGGAATTCCTGGTGTTTTGTCATAACATGTCGACTAACAAGAAAGCCTTAATTGATACTTACAGAGTGCAGGAATCGGACAGCAACTTTTTTGAAAGTTTTACGGCCTTATCATGGAGACAAGAAAATAAAAGACTACGGGCAGCATCCGATGTAAGTAAACTAATTGTCGATTAAATTTTAATGCATGGATTTTAATGAGCCTGTAAAATTGCAATGATCAAAGAACTTCCATTAAAGTTAATTTTTCACTTTTTTTTGATACATTTATGGAGTTATTTAAGTCAGTGACTGATCAATATTTCGATCTCTTTTTTACAAAAATTAAAACCTTGGCTGATGAGACATAAATTAAGGGCTCTGTACAGCTGCTTTTTTATGTTCTGTTTGAAATTAATGATCAGACATAGGTTGAAGGACTCGATCTACATTTAAAATTATCATCAAACCCTAAAATTTTTCTTGAAATCAGAATCAAGGTAATGTTATGCTGTAAATGATGACAAAATTGTCACATAAAAGTGGTAATTCATTGGTATACCTTTCCCTAGTTTTCTTTCATATTTTTTCAGTAGTTGGATGTGTATTTAAACTTTGATTTTGCAGTGATACTTAAACATTGCTTGCATGTACTGTATAAGTGGAAATTTAGCAAGATGCAAATTAAGTGATTGGTCCTTAAAAATTGGTATTTTATTTTAGCGAGATGTAATTTAAACGATTTTAAAAAGCTCACTAAAGAAGCTTTTGCAAATAAAGTGCAATTCATTTTTAGCTATGCTCTTGGCATCCTCACTAATAATGGCAAAATTAAATCCTTGCTAAAAATTCTGCTTATACGGTATATTCTTTATATATATATACTAGCTGGTAATTGTTTTGTTGAATACCATATACATGTGTTTAAAAAATGTATATATTCAAATTGAAAGCAAGTACATGTATTAGATTGTTTTCATCAGGTATGCATTTTTAAAGATTCCTTTGTTCTAGAAGAGATTTGTCAATGTTATTTTATTTAGGTTGAAAATAATAATAATAATAATAATGAAAAAAAATTATGCTTATTGATTCCGATGATTATTAAAGTCTGCAATACACTGTACTTTAGCAGTATGTTTAAGGGAATGCTCATTTTCTCATTTGTAAGCCTGGTATATTTTATGAGTCCTGGAGGATGTTCATTAACTGCATACAGCCATTTATACTGGTTTTTTCTCAGAACAGCTTAATTTTTTATGCCTCGAAAGATGGCCAGTGCAATATAATATTCCCTTTTCCATCTCTTTTTTTTTCTGTTTTTTGTCTTTGCATGTACATAATGTGCTGACTTTTGTGTGTGTCTTAATTTATATTGATGACTATATACAAATAAAGTGTTTGAGTTTCACAGTTAACTAATTCATTGACTCTTTGTCAAAATAGTCATTGCTGACTTAGACTTTCAAAATATCTGATTTTTTATTTTTTCTGGAATCTTGCTATGCTTCTAGATTTTTTTTTCACAAATACAGTTTGAGTTTCTTGATTAACCCATTTTCACAAAAGTTATATATATTCATTGTCTTTAAAAATGACTTTTTGATATATGATGACTAACATTAAAATTCATTTTTTTTTATTCATATATTTTCTTGAAATTTTATGATTTTTCAGGACCTTGACTCATATTTTATAATGAAAATAATTTTTTTTACCTATGATAAAAACTTAAGAGATACATTAATTACCAATGAAAACATCTTTAAGAGGAAAAAAGGTTTACATCATGGCCCTAATCTAGAACATTAATTGACCTTATTTGAAAAACTTAAGCTTAGCCATAACTTTTGCTTTAGAAAAGACATGATGCTTGACCTCATGACATTGATCTATGAATTTGATGCAGTTTTAAGATTAATCTAAAACTTTGTTCCAACCTTAATAAAAAAAAAATATGATCGACAAACAAGAAACTTGACACACAATAACATTAAAAAAATGTAAGCAGTTACAACATATCATAAGTAATTGTATCCTAACTTTTAAGACAGTGAAAGGGGCCAAAGTTTATTGGCTTAAAAATGGGAAAATCGTTTACCAGTGACCTAGGTGTACATCTGCTGAAGATGATGTATTTTGTGGTACAGTCCACACATATATTGAATAAGGTCATGTTGAAATGAACTATTTAACAACTTCAAAATTTTACGTAAAGTAAACGTATAATTGTAAATTTCTTTGCAATTTTGTCTGAGTGGACTCATTTATGGTTTTACTGGTTTTACATTAATAATTTAAAATCATGTGCAGAATGATAGCTGTTATGGGGAAAATGGAAAACTAGATTTTATAAAGAAGTTGAAAGGAGAGTGTATATCATTGTGATTATAATTGAATCAACGGAGAATTATGGCTTGTTGTTTTCGAATCCACCAGAATTTGAATTAATTTATAAAACTGAGTGGGACGGAACATTGATGTTATTGCAGTTTTAGTGGAATTCAAATTGAATTATAAGTTGTTAATTACTTTCTTTAAAGTTCTTTCCCTCAAATTTCTTGAAGGATTTATATTGAATTATATTGGATTAAACCATCAAATTTAAGTCAATTTTTGGATGTTTTCACAAGAACAAATCCTCTAATGACTTGCAATCAGTTGTATGAACATGATGAATATACATTACATTATATATATGTCTGCATTGATCTTCTTTATGAGAGTCATGAGCTAGATTAACTCTCTCAATACCTCTCAAGATGTCATCGTGGGATTAGAATCCATGAATTAGCTGTACCTAATTAGTTCATTCCAGCACTGGTGGAAAAATTTACAGTATGTGACTAAGAGCTTGTTGCAAGTCAGACTCCAAGGTCAAGGTCAAAAAGACAAAATTGTTGGTATTTAAAGGTAGGTCTTAATTGTCATAGGGAATAAACCGCAGTGAAATATGAAAGCCCTGGAATTAACTATTCAAAGGTTAAAAGTTTTTCTAAAAAGTGGGTCAACATCTAAGGTAAAGGTAAAAAATATTATAGCCAAAGTTAAAATTAGGTAATTTTTTGTGTAAAAGTGGGTCAAACTTCAAGGTCAAGGGGTCAGATTTGGTGGTACCCAGTGAAAGTTCTTGTACCAAGGATACACCTATGAAATATAAAAGCCATAACCCCACCCACTCAAAAGGTATTGGGCAAGGTTAAATTTTTTTTGCAGTCGAACAGACAGACGGACAGACAGACAGGGCAAAAACTTTATACCTTGGAATCTCCAATTACAGGGGCATCAAAAATACATTATTTATAGTTTTTGTTGGTCTTCTGGGATTAGATGCATAGAACATATCTTCAAACTTAAATATTGCATTAGATGGCTGAAACAAGTCCAAAAAGTCATTTAATAAGTAAGTTTTTCCCTCCAATACTTTTTCTATTGTGCCTCAAACTATAAGATAAAGAGGTGTTGTTGTCTAGTCTCTGTGTGACATTCAATTCATCATATTGTCCATAAATGTGTTGCGAGTGTCTAGAATCTATTAAGAATCACCATTCTGTTCCATGATAAACTTCAATTAATGGGGTAATGGTAATTTATGTATCTGAGTTATAGAACAATTCAGTTATATCTAAATGGATCTGTACATACTGACATTTGTGCATGCATACATTAGAATTTCTTTGTATATGTGTGAATTTTAATTTTAGGAATGTGCAAAGTAAAAAAAAAAATCACATTGAAGAATATCAAAAAAATCTCTGAGCATGATCAGTTGATTGAGATTATGGATGATATATCTTATACTTATTCAATATGATCGATGGTTAATATACCTATTGAAATGCATGAAGGTCCTGCTTTTCATCTGCATGTATAGATACCCATCAGGTTTAATCAATTGGCATAATTGCCATAAAAGTTTTGAACATGATGTCATATAGCAAATTAAGCTGAAAGGAAAGCTTTGAAGAATAAAAAGTACAAATTGGCAATATCACCCAATGACACCAATTCAGTTGGATGATATCACTCAATCAAAATGATAAGACAGTAAATCACATTATACAAAAATTTATATCGCCTTTTCACGAGGTCAATCCTTAGATATATTGGCAGTAATTCTATATTGTACTGTATACTTTGTTAGATCATTGGTACTCACAATCGGGTTTCATAGACTTTAATGCTGCATACTTATAGGGATTCGGTCTACTTTGAGTCACTTAATTGTTATTCCGAAAATTTTCTGATACTGTATATTGAACTTTGGTAGTTTTAGCACTCCAAATATCTCTCATTGAGATAATGATGTTTGACTGTATATAAATACCTTGTATTTTTCAGGATGATCATGATAGACACCCTCCTTCAGAAAGCCAGTTTGCCATCAAACCAGAGGTACAGCGTCTGTCAAAGAAAGAGGTGAGCACAGAACAGGATTTCAGGTGTATTTGACTGGTATATTTATTTTAACCATTAAGAAGGAAATATATCAAATGCTTTTTTGGCCTTTCTATAGAACTGGACTTACTGAACTCCCCAAGTTTATGCAGCTTTAATTGCCAGTGTTGGCAGCATATAGGAGTATTCAAAAAAAAATCTCAGATGGCAAACTTCATTTGGATTTAAACATTCCATCATTTCTCATTGAAAAGAAATAATAAAATTGGGTCATAAGTAAGTTTACATAAAATTAAACAAAAACAAAACCAAAGCATCCGTCATTTCAATGATACTTGTTTTTGTTGCAAAAGGCTTAGTGTAATGGGCGAGAGATTAGAAAAAAAACATTTATGGTTTGTAATTTACCAGAAGTTGTTGCTGTATAGTCATTTGGACTCAAATTCCTTGACATAGTATGGATAGTTGAATCTTTACTTTGCAATATTCACAAATAATTTGAAAGGCTACATGGAATTTTCAAGTTTCGCATCATAGTTATCCAAGATTATCTTTATTTTTTGTGAGATTTTCTACTTGCAACACTAAGTTTTTACCTATAAAAGCAGAACAGATACAAGGAGCTGCAGACCTGATGAGTTTATAGGCTTTGGTTTTCATCAATAAAGATTTTTGTATGGAAAATTGCTTAGATTTTCCCTATAAGGATCCTAAATAATTTGAACCATAGCCACCAAGGGACTCCTATAGAAGCAATTAAGGACAGATAATGTGTATTGACAAGTTAGCACTGTAAAATTGAATAATGCAGAAACAATTCTGGAATAATGACCCAAGTGTTGAATCCAGATTTGTTTTATGGTTAATATAATGTTGTACATAAGATCCAAATACAAGCTTTATAGCACCAAAAATCACTGAAACTTGATTTGCAGAGCATGTAATCTGACATTATGTTAGAAGTTGCCTGCAGAACATTTATCTAATATCAATATTGTGCTCAGCTATACAACAGTAAAGCACAGTAATTATTATGGTTCTATAAGTTTTGTCTTGAATTTCTCACTATACATGAACATATAAGGTTTATATATATGAAGAATTAGTCATTCATATATACGCAAGTGTGTAAGATAGATACAGCAGTACTGATAATACAAACAGAAATTTTTTCTATCCTTAAGAAGGCTGGGGGTCAACAAATAAACCATCAGATATAACTTTAATTTTTATACGCCCGTCTTAAGACGGGACGTATTATGTTATAGGCTTCGTGTCCGTCCGTCTGTCCGTCTGTCTGTTAGCTTTTTCGTTTCCGGCTCATAACTTTAATACTACTAGGCCTAGGATTATCAAACTTTGTCATCTGATGCATCTTGGGTAGAAGGTGTGTCGCGCACAAAAAGTAGGTCGCTCTGACCTTTAATTAAGAAGTTATAGCCAAATATGGAAAAATCCTTTCCGGCCCATAACTAGAAAACCATAAGACCTACAATCATCAAACTTGGCCAGTTTATGCATCTTAGGTAGAAGGTGTGTCGCGACCTATTTCAAGGTCACTGTGACCTTTAATTTAAGTGAATTTTTTTAAAAAAATGTGTCTTTTGACTATTCATTTACACAACCCAAATAATGTAAGAGTATTGCACTGCTCTTATTAAAAAAGTGTTAAATCAAGAAAATACTTATTTTTTTTATTAGCATATACTTGACAGCAATCTAAAACAAATATAATGTATGTTAGAGAAATCCCATGTCTCCCATGAGTGTAATTATCAAGCACTGGTCAAGAAGAATTTTGATAACAGAAAATTGCATATCAAATTAGAGAGAAATTAATGGGTTTTGAGTGCAAGGAGCTAACCGACAGAGTGTTGGCGTTATCTATATCCCTTGAGAATTGGGCAAATGGGTAAGCCTGTTTGATTAAGAATAGCTCTTGTTGACTAGCTTAAGTTTTGAAATGAATTTGATGAAAAGTAATTAAAACTAATTTGATATTGCATAATAGACTAATCTGATATTATGTAATATTATTCATTTAAAAACTAATTTAATGGGGTGGGGTTGAATCAGCATGTCCATATGAATTACATACTAAAACCTGTCGGACATTAAATCTCAACCAAAAAAAAAAAAAAAAATCTGAGAGTATTTTATATGTTTTTAAAAAAGAATTATAGTAGATAGTGCAGACCCATTCATCTCTTGGTAGTAATGAGTAGACAAGCATCCAGTTAAAGATTAATTAATGAGTTCAATGTAGGAAGGCTAGCTGTCTCAGTCGCTCTGATTAAGCAGCCCTTTGGGGATTAGACAGAAGAACTGCTGGTCAGTTTATAACATTATATGTCATTTGATGGCCAGCCTTTTTTTTCAAAATTAATTTGGAATAGATTAAAGAATTATAGTAGATAGTGCAGACCCATTCATCTCTTGGTAATAATGAGTAGACAAGCATCCAGTTAAAGATTAATTAATGAGTTTAATGTAGGAAGGCTAGCTGTCTCAGTCGCTCTGATTAAGCAGCCCTTTTGGGATTAGACAGAAGAACTGCTGGTCAGTTTATAACATATGTCATTTGATGGCCAGCCTTTTTTTTCAAAATTAATTTGGAATAGATTAAGTTGTTAAGACTAATTTGATGATGGGCATTTGATAAGGTCTAACACAACCAGCACAGAAATCTATCAGTGATGTAATATTTATTATAATTGATGCCTACATCACAGGGGATGGATAAAATATTTTAAGGAATGGAAAAATCATCGAAATCTTAGAATCAAGGTTGATGTGATTTTCTTGCACCTAAACTGTTCAAGAAAATTGTAATTTTTTGACGGGCGTATCATGCTGTGGCGCGGCACTTTATTTATATATGGTATCTTAAGCTGTCAACCATCATTTGGCAAGAATAAATCGTACATTTTAGTTTTAAAATTTGATCATTTTTGTATATCTTTATATAAAACTCTTCTAAAGGAGATTAATATAATCTAAAAATGGCCATAACCACCAAGCCCTCTTAAAATTTCCTTGTTCATTCAATCCATTTAAATGTAATGAAGTTAAAGCTATTTTTGTATTTTTATGGCCCTTTCATGTGATTTCATTGAGAGTTTAATATTACTTCATTTGCAAAGTGTTTTAAAGGTTGTGTTTTGTTCTTTATTGGAGAACCTCGAATAGCTCATTAAAATTATCAGCATTAAACAGACCTCTAAATCCTCTGCCCATACAGTCCATTTGCTTTTTTAGTTCACTTGAAACATGCAGATTACCTTTTGTGATCTTTTCCTTACTTTGAATGTGTTGTGCATCAGTCCAATAATATGTCAGTCATAAACTTTTCAACATTTCTAGCTTTTAACTCTCAAACCACTAAACTACTTTCAACTTATGGTATAATGGCATCTATGGTTGAAGGAAAACAAAAGTTACATTTTGATTGTCCTGATCTCTGCTCCCCCCCCCCCCCCCCAGGCATTTTGCTTTTCTGCTGTGTGTTGGTCGATCTGTCAGTCCATCATCAGTTTCCATTCATTTTTTTTTTTCAGAGGTTGCACATGTTGAAATGAAATTTGGTACAGTGGACCCTCATTTATCCGGACGCTTTGGTTTCCAGTCAATTTGTCCGGATATGTGAAGCATCCGGATATCTGAATCACCAGTTAAACAAGACAAAATAACATTTAAAAATTTCGTTCCAATGAAAAATCGTCCGGATACTGAAGCATCCGGATATCTGGCGTCCGGATATCTGAAGGTCCACTGTATACTGATTTACCATAACAATATCTAGGTCAAGTTCTGTTTTGGGTACGATCAAGCCATTTTGGATAGAGTTATGCCCCTTGGACTTAATTTTTAGCTCACCTGAGCCGAAGGCTCAAGTGAGCTTTTCTGATCACATTGTGTCCGTCGTCCGTCCGTCTGTCCGTCTGTCTGTCCGTCTGTAAACTTTTCACATTTTCGACTTCTTCTCAAGAACCACTGGGCCAATTTTGACCAAACTTGGTACAAAGCATCCTTGGGTGAAGGGGAATTTAAATTGTTAAAATGAAGGGACATATCCCCTCGCAAGGGGAGATAAGCAAGAAAAGACAAAAATAGGGTTGGGTCATTAAAAAATCTTCTTCTCAAGAACCACTGGGCCAGTAAAGCTGAAACTTATGTGGAAACATCCTTGGGTAGTGTAGATTTTATATTGTTCAAATCATGACCCCCGGGGGAAGGGCGGGGCCACAATGGGGAATCAAAGTTTTATATAGAAATATATAGGAAAAATCTTTAAAAATCTTCTTCTCAAGAACCACTGGGCCAGAAAAGCTGAAACTTATGTGGAAGCATCCTGGTATAGTGTAGATTCTAAATTGTTCACATCATGACCCCTGGGTGAAGGGCGGGGCCACAATGGGGAATCAAAGTTTTACATAGAAATATATAGGAAAAATCTTTGAAAATCTTCTTCTCAAGAACCACTGGGCCAGAAAAGCTGAAACTTATATGGAAGCATCCTGGTAAAATGTAGATTCTAAATTGTTCAAATAATGACCCCCGGGGGAAGGGCGGGGCCACAATGGGGAATCAAAGTTTTATATAGAAATATATAGGAAAAATCTTTGAAAATCTTCTTCTCAAGAACCACTGGGCCAGAAAAGCTGAAACTTATATGGAAGCATCCTGGTATAGTGTAGATTCTAAATTGTTCACATCTTGAGCCCCGGGGGAAGGGCTGGGCCACAATGGGGAATCAAAGTTTTATATAGAAATATATAGGAAAAATCTTTGAAAATCTTCTTCTCAAGAACCACTGGGCCAGTAAAGCTGAAACTTATGTGGAAGCATCCTGGGGTAGTGTAGATTTTAAATTGTTCAAATCATGACCCCCGGGGGAAGGGCAGGGCCACAATGGGGAATCAAAGTTTTATATAGAAATATATAGGAAAAATCTTTGAAAATCTTCTTCTCAAGAACCACTGGGCCAGAAAAGCTGAAACTTATGTGGAAGCATCCTGGGG